CCAATTTTGCACTTAAATTGATAAGATATATATCACCCAGGGTGCAGAATAAGCTATACTTCACCCGAGGTAATCTTACGATCGCTTCTCAAATAAATTACGTTTAGAATATAAATAGTTACATGCATATTGATTCAATATGTAAAATTTGGTACAAAAAATTGGTTATAAGACCAGAAAAAATACATTGTATGTATGTTTTACACTATATTTCTACATTCAAAATTTTACGTAATATAATTTTTTTTACGGTGAGTACATATTTTTTACCTTCTCTTTTTATGTATGAAATAAGATAAAATTTACGAAACGTAAAAATACGGTGCATTGATGTCAAAATAGAAAGGGGGTGAAGAATAACTATTCCTCACCAGGGTGACGTAAAAATAGGGTCGCGCTATTCGTCACCCTGGGTGAGGAATAGTTATTCTTCACCCCTCCCCCCTCTATTTTATCATCAATGCACCGTAATTTTACGTTCCGTAACTTTTATCTTATTTCCGACGCAAAAAGAGACCGTAAGAAAATATATAATCACCGTAAAAAATATTTTATGTTATGTAAAATTACAAACGTAAAAACATAATATAAAATACACATAAAATGCAAATTTTCTTGTCTTATGACCTTTATTTTTATTTTCTTATGTCAAATTTTACGTAGTGAATTAATAGGAATATGACTATTTGAATTCCAAACGTAATTTAATTATGAAATGATCGTAAGATTACCTCGAGTGAAGAATAACTTATTCTGCACCCTGGGTGAAGAATAGTAACACTATATATATATCACTGATTCAGTAGGCCCTTATATTATCACATGCAAACTATCTACTGCCTTGCCTGCAATTAGTCACAGAGCGTGGCGAACAATCAGGGGACACGTCACGGACAGATGATGTTGAATTGGGGAAATTAAGAGACGAACGTCCCAATATATTATTTGTTTTAGCTTATGCTGAGTCGTTGTGGAGGGTTTTCACCAAGGGAGCTTCAGGTACATATAACATACATACAAATGACTCACTGACAGACCGGAGTTGCAATCTTCAATTTTGTGTGGCTAGTTATCTAATCACCAAAACGCTTTTGCCTCGCTTTTTAGATAAAGCAATAACCACCGTACAAATGACAACACAACTCCACATACACACACCAAGGCATGATACAATGATGTTGATGAACAGCCACACACCCTGCAAAAACTCCAAGAAAATGATAGGTGGGCAAACAGACCATCACTTGGAGTCGACCGAGCACCCAACCTGGGACAAACCACCACAAAAGAGATGAAGCTGAACAACGACGAGCCAGGAACTCAAAATCGGCGCCTATAGAAAGGATACTACACCGGAGCGCCATCCCCACCCGATCCAAAGGATCAGGGTTTTCACCCAGAGCGACAAGGACAGAGAGTAACCATGGCTGTGCCTTCAAGAAGGGGGCAATGCCCGTGGATACCGCCACCATTGACCTAGCTAACACCAGACTCAGTTTTAACCCCCAACAAGCACCCTCCGCCTTCGGAACATGGAGCAGTCAGGTGTGAGACCACCTGTCGCACCACCACCAGAGATCTTCGGACACCAACTACAACGCCGCCCACATGACCATGACAGTAAGCCATCAACCAAGCTATGAGCTTCGCCCACGAGCATCGCCGCTCCCCAGCATCCAAGACCGCCCCTCAACCGTCACCACAACACTCAAACACCATCGACCAGCGAAGCGGCAGAAGGCCCCTCCTTCTACCCCAAAACAAGACCCCTTGCAATCGGGAAGGTCCCCCTCACTGTTTACGCTGGCTGGGCTTTTCCTGGCTGCGCCGAGGGGGAGATGAGGTGTGGGAGAGACGGGAGAGACGAAGCAGGTTTTGCCCTCCGCTCGTGGGAGCGGAGCGGGCGAATCATTTTTTTTTCAAACCAACACTTATTTTTTGAAAAGGAGGAGGACCCCCGGCCTCTGCATCTGGGCGATGCATGCAACCATCTTATTAACTATTCACAATGACTTTACAAAGAAATACAACAGTAAGTCTGAAGCCACCGTCTAGACAAGAACTGTCGCTACTCCTATCTAGTTAATGCAGGGATGCTGATAGTCTGGGCCTAATACCAAACAGACCTCACAGCCAAAGCTAACATCTAAGATCTGAGGGCCCAACCAAGCCACTTGCCGGGTATGAGGCATACATTGGTCCAGCGTGCTCTCAGAGGCCGCCGAAGCCAACTTCCACCGTTCCATCTTCAGAGCTGTACCGACGCATCAACCTTGTCTGGTCTAGCTACCGTCGACGCCACCACGGCGCCAAACGGCACCACCTCCCTGCGCGCAAACTGCTGAGCATGTCATGGTCGCCGCCGGTACACCTCAGCACCATGCCGCCACGTACCATCAGTCGACACAGTTTGAAGTCTTTGGAAGATCTATCGTGCGTAGCACCTGCCGAACAGGCATGACAAAGCGTATCACCTGTCGGCCAGGCATGACTTGACATTTTCACCGAAGCTCCGTGCAATACTAAGCCGCTCCACCTCCTGCCTCTATCTTCCAGCGCTGCTCCAAAAATGATGCTCCCAAGAGAGAAACGACACCGCAATGCCACCATCGTCTGATCTGTTACCCTAGATAATACGACCGCAATGCCACCATCACTCCTTTCGGCCACTCCAGGGGAAACCCTAGATCTGTTACCGGATCAAACGATGGTGACGTCTCGCGCCGCGCTCCTTGCTGGAGTCATCGTTGTGGAGCAAGTGCTAACTCGAGTGCACAGGTGGTGGAGCGGCCTGGTTTCTAATGCCTCATCGACGACGGGTCTCGGCGGCATGGCGCAACGGAGTTTCAGCGACAGGTGCGTGTGGATGGACGCGTGCAGGATGGTGGCACTGTCTGGCGTCATGGTGACGTCGATGGTAGTATGGCCTGACGAGGTGAATGCATTGATCAGTACTGAAGATGGGACCGTGGAAGATGGAGGCAGCTGATACTAGAGCGTGACGGTTGGTACTCTCGTCTTGCTAGCGAGCAGCTTCATGAGGCCACCGGGATAGATGTTATCTGTTGATATGCGGTCAGGCACGTCACCAAGTGTAGTGGCAGTAGTGGTGAGACTAGTGGTTTTGGTTTGATCATTGTAGTTGGTTTGTTTGGCTATGTGGAATAATATAATAAAATGGCTGTGTGCATCGGTTGATGCAGAGACCGGAGGTATTCCTCCTTTTTGAAAAAAACAAGGGTAATTATCCGCACAATTGTGTGAGACACAAGCAAGTTTTCATTATTATAAAAACAAATAATGAAGGGGTCATGTTCTTTTTAGCATCTATCATATTAAAGCCTTTCTCATACCGATTGATGCCCAATTCAAGCCCACATTCGAAACCAAGGCTCCAAAGATGAATTAGTAAGGGGTCTAAACTTAGTTTATATAAAACAACGTGTCTACTCTGAAATTTGATTATCTTGGTCGAAACAATGCCTAGTCAATTTGGATATATTAGTTTATATAAAACTTAGTTTATATGTTATGTATTTGCACATTATGTTTTAATTAAGGTTATGCCCTATTTTTTGTTATATTAGTTAACAAGAACGACTAATAGCACGGTTGAAAACTAAACATTTTTTCTGGTCAAATGCCATATATAAATTATTTTAATCTGTGTTACAGTTGCAAAGTTATAGCATGATCATTGTAATATACGCTCTGTAAATAATAAAGACCATGGACCTAAACGGGCTGAAAACAGAGTGAACTGGGCATACTGCAGCTGAACTCAGAATACTAACTAGTGCCCAGCTGCGCGCGACAGTGGATACAGAAGTTGGGCCGAAGCCCAACAGATAGAGGTAAAGGAGAGGGACTTAATACTGGACCGTGGAATATTAGAAAACACATAATTTTTTAATAATACGTACGATGACGGACGGGCAGAAATACTCCGTATTTTCTTAATAGGAATATAGAGCCTACAAGAAGCCATGATAATATGTGGAAGAGGCCGACTAGAGATGTGGTCAAAATCAATGTTGGTGCTGCTTTCCGAGTTGAAACATTCTCAGGTGCAACATGCGTTATTACCCATGATGGAAGAGGGAACTTCATTGCTGCGGCAACATGGTTTGTTGCTCTGGTGACCAGCGTTGACTCAGCGGAGATGACAACGATCCGGAATGGATGCAGGGAGGATCGGATGTGACAAAGTGATCAGTGGGTCAGATTGTAGATTTGTGGTGGAAGTAGTGCAACAATCAGAAAAGTATGTGAGCTCAGATGTTGCAATGGTACTTGAGTGCAAACATTTAGGGCTGTAACTTGCGAGTGTCTTATATTCGCAGTGTCACCATGAAGCAAATGAAGTGGCTCACGATCTAGCGAAGAACTCTTTTAGTGAAAAATCTTCTATGTTTGGGAATCTATAATCCCTAATTTTATTTCTCACTATATTGTAAATGATATACTATCTATTATCCGAGGAATAAAATATGTTGCTTTCAAAAGGTACTCCCTCCTTTTCAAAATTCTTGTCTTACATTTGTCTAAATACGAATGTATCAAGTCACATTTTAATATTAGGTACATCTGTATCTAGACAAATCTAAGACAAGAATTTTGGAACGAAGGAAGTATATAGATATACCCCCTCCATTCTTAAATATAATTTTTTTTAGAGATTTCAATAATGGACTACATAAAAAGCAAAATGAAAGAATCTACACTCTAAAATATGTCTATATACATCCGTATATATTTTATATGAAAATCTTTAAAAGACTTATATTTACAAAATGAAGGGAGTATACCCCTAAAGTATTTGCATATTATGTTTTTCTTTTTATTGAGGGGTGTTTATGCACATTATGTCGATCAAAACCTAAAACCTAGAAAGATTGTCAGAATCTGGACGGTATAAAACCTCGAGAAACCCGCCGCCCTGTCCTCGCCCAAATCCCACCGACCACCCAGAGCGCCGCCACTCCCACAGTACCGCTGAAATGCCGAAGTCGCGAAAGCGGAAGGCCACCGTGCCGGCGGCGCCGCCGCCGCTGCGCCGCCCACGGCCCCGAATGGAGTACCGTGCGCGGTCCGACGAGGCGTGGTACGGCGCGCGCGTGGCGGTGCAGCAAGGCTTGCTCCGCGTCATGTTCGAGAATTCCACCGAGGATGCGGACGAGTGGTACGATCCAGGGGCTGACTTCGCATCCCCGGGCGACGTGGAGGCGCTCCGCGCCAGGTTCCGCCGGGAATGCCCGCCCCTCGACGACGCCCGCTGCGGGGATCTCCGCCCCGGCGACAAGCTCTGCCTCGCCTGCTATATCCGCGGCGACGTCGAGGAGCTCAAGTACTACGACGCCGTCCTCGAAACCGTAAGTCCTCCGTGTCTCGTCCAACTCAGCGCGTTCGTCAACACACGCATATGCTTCAGTAATAATAGGCGCCGACCAAATATGCAGGTAGAGAGGGCAGCGCACGGCGTGGAGCAGTGCGCGTGCCGTTTCACGGTCCGCTGGACGGAGGGGCCGCGCAGCGGTTGCTTGGACAAGGTCGGCATCGACGTGGTCTGCTGCGTGCCGGAGTCACCGATCCAAGATCCGGTGCTGGGCGAGTTCCTGGACGACCTGACAAAGAGGTTCGCCGAGGACCAAGGGACGGCGACGGCAGCGTCCCAGCAGGCAGACCCGACCCCGATGAGCGAGGAGGAATTGTGCGGGTACAGTCTCGCATACTCCTCGAGTAATAGTCTTTTCGTCTCGTAATGAAGGGGATTTTCTCCCCTGAAATCATCAGAGATTTGATACATGACACCCATGCGCTAAAAGAAAACAAAAGAACTCTGTACGGATCTACAGTTAGTTTTTTTTAGAGGAAATAGACTACCTTTTATTAAACTGCGGCTCCATCAGCCACAATAGCATCCCTAATACAAAACGGAAAAACACTGAACCAAGTTTTACAAAACTTAAAAAGGCAGCGCCCCCTAGCTAATATGTGAGCAGCTTTGTTTACTTTACGTCTAGCCCACAGCACACGAGCCTCATCTACACCAGAAATCATCTCATTGATCTCCTGGACAAGGGGGCCAAACCTGGACCGATAAATATCGCTGGAGTTGAGGACTTTGAGCCAGTGCTCATCCGTGGACCGATAAATATCGCTGGAGTTGAGGACTTTGAGCCAGTGCTCATCCGGCGTTATCCAACGAGCTTCCTGATGCACAACAGAGACTGTTCCCTTTGGAGCATTTATTTTCACCCATTCATCTATGAGCCTAAACACCCTTTCCACAACAACCTGAACTTGTTCAAAAATCTGATTGTCCCTGGCGTTATTTCTAATCAGCCACATGCATGTGATATAGACTCATCACCATGATGGCCCGTTCTGCCTCCTTGTGCTTTCCAAACCAATCAAGAAGCCACCCCGCCATCTGTTGCTGCGATTCAATCCACACAGGTGGGCTAAAATCAAAAGAAGACCCTCTCAAACTGTTAACACAGTTCCAAAAGAGCTTTGCATAAGGACATCTCCAGAATCGATGTAGTCCCGTCTCTTCACGGCTGCAAGCTAAACAAAAAACACCCGGTTTAATTCTGCGCCGGTACAACTCTGTCCCCACTGCGAGGCCATTCTTCAACGGTCTCCAAATGTGCCTTAGCCTTGGCCGGCACTTCAGTACTCCATAGCTCGTTCCATCCAGTATGCATCGAGGCCGAAGCAGAACATTCAGGTGAACCTGAGCTTGTGTCTTTCAGTTTCATCTCAAGATGGTAAGCTGAACGAACCGTAAAAATACCGTCCTTCGTGTAATTCCAGGCCATCATGTCATCTCTGCCGAGACCTCCCACCACAATCTGAGCAATGTCAGCAACATCAGCTTCATGGAACACCCGCTGTAAAGTAGCCATGTCCCATCTAGAACCAGAATAATCAAACAACTCATCCACAGTTCGAATATTGCACATAGCCCGAGCACCAACAGGCTTCGGCGCACCTTCTCTTGGGATCCAATTGTCAGACCACACATTTACCTTGGTTCCATTCCCTATACGCCAAATGAGGCCTTCTTTCAGTAAAGAACGGCCATAAATAATACTCCTCCAAGCTTGTGAGGCACTCTTAGGGATCGAAGCCTTCATAAGATCTCCTTGCGGAAAGTATCTGGCCTTTAAAACTTTTGCACGTACAGCGAGTCTGGGACAGTAAGAATCCGTCAAGCTTGTTTTGCGAGCAGTGCTTTATTGAAAGCTTCAAAATCCCTGTACCCCATCCCACCCACCCGTTTACTTCTGCACATTTTGTCCCAAGCCACCCAATGCACCTTGGGTTTGCCATTTTCAGCTCCCCACCAAAAGTTTGATGAAACTGAAGTCAGATTCCGGCACAGTTTCTTCGTGAATTGGAAACAACTCATAGCAAACGTCGGCATCTCTTGGAGGACCGATTTAACCAGCACCTCTCTTCCCTTCTTAGTCATCCCTTGACCTTTGCAACCCGTCACTTTTGCACTAGATCTCTCCCTAACATACTTGAAACACCCATCTTTTGACCGGCCTACTACAGTTGGTAAAACAAGATATCGCTCACTAAGAGCTTCAGAGTTCCGTTTCGAAAAAAGAGCTTCAGAGTTGATATTGATGGTTTGTTTCAAAGATTCCTTTACATCATCCTCACAAACCCTGCCAAACAAGATAGAGGATTTCTGAAGATTAACTTTTTGGCCAGAGGCCTCCTCATAGACATGTAAAATATGAGTTAGCTCCAACATGCTATTCGCCTCCGCCTCCAAGAAGACAACACTATTATCCGCAAACAACAGGTGAGTAATGTGAGGGCCGTCGCTCCCAAACTCCACGCCTCGGATCTGTTTGTCTCGCTGAGCCCTATTGAGTAGAGCGGAAAAACCTTCAACGCAAAACAGGAACAAATAGGGAGATAGAGGATCACCCTGCCAAAGTCTTCGAGACGGAGAGAAAATTTTCGACAACCCATTGTTGACACGAACCGAGAACTTAACCGAGGTAATGCAGTGTATAATAATATCAATCCACCTCTGAGAGAAACCCATCTGTGTCATCATCGCTTCAAGGAAACTCCACTCGACACAATCATAAGCCTTCATCATGTCCAATTTGACCGCACAAAGACTCTTCTTTCTTCTCCGCTTCCGGATAGAGTTAATGCATTCATAAGCAATAAGGACATTGTCCGTGATTAAACATCCCGGTACGAAAGCACTTTGTTCTTCAGAGATGAGAATTGGCAACACACATTTAAGTCCATAAGCCAACACTTTTGCAGCAATCTTGTAGAGAACATTACAAAGGCTAATCGGCCAGAATTGTGAGAGCATCTCTGGAGCGTTGACCTTGGAGATAAGAACCAAAAATTGTGCTATTAAAATCTGACGGCACCTCTTTACCCTCGAGAAAATCCCTAATAGCCTTGCACACCGCATGTTTGACCAGAGACCAGTGTTTCTGGTAAAATAAAGCGGGTAGACCATCCGGCCCTGGCGCCTTAGTAGAACCCATCTGAAAAAGAGCCTGTTGAATCTCATCATCAGAAAAGGCAGTAGTATGACGGGCATTCATATCTTCAGACACACCAACTTGAACATTCTGAAGGATTCTCTCCATATTGGCAACCCCATCCGACGTGTACAAACTCTCAAAGAAAACCTTTGCCATAGCTCCCATCTCCTCATCCGAAGAAGCAAAACTCCCGTCACCCTTCTTTAATTTCAATACCGTATTCTTTCTTCTTCTGTGTGATGCTCTAGTCTGAAAAAACTTTGTATTTCTGTCTCCCGCATGTAGCCAGTCAACTCGTGATCTCTGTCTTTGCATGATTTCTTCCCGCTCATACAGCTCATGAAGCCTAGCTTCAATATTTTGAACCTCAAGTGAGGAAGCTGGAGAATCACCATGCTCCCGGGCCTGTCCAAGCCTTTCCCTCAAGCTCTTTATCTCCCGCTGGACAGATCCAAATTCAGTGCGTGCCCATCTCTGCATATCTCCTGACATATACTTTAAACAAGCCCACGTCCCACCAATTGAATCAGCCGTATGTGCATAGCGCTCCCATGCAATATTGATCATATCATTGTATCCCTCATGACGGCGAAAATATATTTTAGAGCACCTGCACCCATGTTTCTCTCACGTAGAACATGTCTTCAAATTCAAACCTTTGCAGAACAGTAAAGCTTTCTAGCTACAATCTAGGATAAATTTTTTATATTTTTTCGTCCAACATAAATATACAAAATAAGTCTTTTTTGATTAAAAAATATTTTTTTAGTATTTATGTTGGACGAAAAATTCTGAAAGTTTTATCCCACAATCTGGTTAGTAAGTTTTGCTGCGCTGCAAAGTTTGAAGTTCAAAACATGTTCTATATGAGAGAAACAAAAAAGAGAAAATTTCATGTACGAAGTTAGTTGTCTCGCAGATTTTAAAGCAATATTGGAGAGCCAAGATAGCAGGGCCTGGGTGCAAGTGCTCTAATAATCTGCGTCCCCCATGACGGACTCACATTTCTTCATACCTGAACTGCCTTGCACATCTGCTTTGCTGACTTGGTCCCTCCTTTGCCACCCTAATGATTAAAGCCATATGATCAGGCTCCTCTGTCGGGATGTTCTCAACAGTGGTCAACGGAAACAAACAAGAAAAAGAGTCATTGCATGTTGCTCTATCTAACCGAACTTGAACATTTTCCTCTCCCTCTCTTCTATTATCCCAAGTGTAAGTGTAACCTGAGTAGCCCAATTCAAGGAAACCACAATCTGTTAAGCACTCTCTGAATTCCTCCATTTGTGTCCAACCTCTCTCATTCTTCCCCTTGTGTTCCTCTTGCCAACAAGCCTCTTTAAAATCACCAGTACACAACCACGGGAGATCATCTTGGCGCTTTAGGCAACGAATAGCATCCCAAGTATTGTTTTCAAGTTCCGTTCGAGGCTCGCCATAGATTCCAGTGAACCTCCAGCAGCCATCCTCGCTGCTAATAACCGCATCCATGAAATATTGACACCACGGCCGGATAGTGACATCATAACAATCTTTCCACCATAGTGCCAATCCACCACACTCCACCCCACACAGTCAACTGTTTGACCATGTTTGAAACCCATGCTCCACTTTAATTTTTTCATAGCTCCGCTTTTCTTCTTTGTCTCACTTAGGAAAAGAGACCTACCCCTGGGTTGTATGACCTAATCAGGTCTCTCAATTCGCCCAATGCCACGTCCAACCCCAAACCACGGCAGTTCCAGGATAAGATGATCATTGGTCTCGGCGGCCCCGTGTGGCGGGGTCCGCTGTTGAAGTGTATTCTTCGATACGTACGCTCGAAGACAGACGACACCTTATGTCGCTTCTCACCAATGAACGCATCATGTGGAGCATATTTCTCAGAATCACCCTTAACAACCCAGATCTGCTTTGAACTTCTCTTTTTTTCATTGGCTATGACAAGTCCCTTCTTCTATCATCCTCTCTCTTAGACCTGTATTTTCTAATGTAAGTGCCTGGCTTCCTCTGTTGAGACCTCGAACTTTCAGCAAACTCACTGTACCTCTCCTTTTGATGCATCCCCATAACAATCTTGTCCCGCCTTCCATCAACTCTACCTGCCTACGATGTACTTAACTCTTTCTCTGTTTTCTGCTCCAAGTCTGTTCTCGTGTCGTGCTCCTTTCCCTTGCCATCTCTTCCAAAAGACTTTTCCGGACCATTGACCTCCTGACCCACGCCACCATATGTCCAAATGTACAATACTCGTGCTCCCAACCATTGACCTCCTGATCTACAGTTAGTTTTAACAGACGTGATCGACACACTAGTGACACCACCATGTGTATGTCTTCCTGAACCGTCGCTATGTTGTCCAATATAGAAATGTGATTCCCAGTTTTGAGATGCTTAGTACGAAGGCAACATAAAAGAAGGGGCTCTATTGGGCACTGGCTTTATTAGAATATTAGTTCATTCATGTACAACTTTTTTATGTTGCTATATTGTATGCATCTTTCATAAAGTTGCTCTATTGTAGATCAAAGTTTTCTTAAGATGATGTAGCAAAATAATTATTGGGAAGAGATGTTTAATTAAGAAAAAAGAAAAAAAATATCCACACGAATCTCAACATAAGATCGATGACATATGACTTAGATGTGCAATACTTATGGCACATCTAGATGTGCTTTAGTAAAACTGTTTAATTTAATTAAGTCATTTAGGCAAAAGTAATAGGTGACAAGGGAAAATGAAAGAACTAATTGTCACATTTAACAGTTTAAATAACTAAACAATCAAGCTTCAAAACTGTTATGATTAAACTATCTGTTGAATTTGATGGTTAACATTGTACAAAGTTGACTTTTACATTATGAATTTTTTAACTATCTAATAGAATTTCATGGTTACTATTTTACAGAGTACTTCTTTCACTGAAGAGGGCTCCACAAAGTTCGACCTGAGAATCGTGAAGAGGGGGTATTGTATCGGATAGGTTGATATCTACATGCTTGCTCAATAAGAGAAAGTGTCCACCGAAAACTCAGTTTCATTGAAACATGGAAACCGAAACTTGTGCCTTTTGATCACAAACCTTTGGTCCAGATTAGTCTACATGTTTCTCAGAATATGCAACCTACTTCTCGGTGGGCATTGTGCACAAAACTCCTTTTTATTTGTACCTCTACTGAAATGAATCCATTAAAGTTGGCACTGCATGTTTGGAGTTTCGGACCTGTACTCCATGCCATTGTTGTTTTCAGATTTAATTCCAGTAAATTTTATGTGTGTTGTTTTGATATTTAACTCCAATTTAGTTAATGCCAAAATAAAATCTCCTTTCACATGTTGTTTTGGTCCAAACATATAAAACTATTGATCATTAGCCTCTTAGGTTGATCATAATTTTTTTGGTTATCCTTTGTTATCAAAAGTCAGTAAGCATATGCTCTCACTTCGATGTGCAACATGGTGCCACATGCAGGCTTTGCTTTGTGTTCAACCAGTCACAAAAAATTATTCTCTCTCAAAGAACAAGGAGTATTGACGAGCGGTAGCCAGTGTTTGCAAACTATCTGCTGTGTGCTCCAATACCGTCACCAGTTACTACCTACGAGAGAGCGAATGTTTGAAAAAGGATAACATATATGAAATAGAGCAGAAACATAAGTTCGATATTACATCAAGTAGCGAGGCCAAGCGGCACATGCGGTGCGGCTGAAAAATATGTACATTATTTAATGAACATGAAGGGACCTCGATCACGATAACTATGCGGCAGCGGAATGGCGACGAAGCGGAACTCCATAGCATAGGGACACTGATGTGGACACGATCTAGACATGAGAAGCGCTTCGATCGGGTAAGACTTTCCTGAAATCTGGCATGACACGCCAGGTCAGTACATTGAATGTACTTGCAATCTCACAACAACCATAAACATAATGGCAAATAATATCATGACAATTTATCAAGTTAAATGCAATGCGATACCACACTATTGATACAGTGAAATCAAACTTGTGCATTGAGTCCCTCGGACTCTCTTACCCGGATCACAAACGGTGGTCATGCCCGGATCACAAACGAAACCAACACTTTGGTTCACACAACGATCATATTCATGATCTCACAAATATCATCACTTAACCAGTGCCAAGCATATAACTTTAGTGTGCAAGATTACTTATTAATGTTAATCCATGGTGTGACTTACTCACGAACTATGTCCGTAACCGAGGACGCAACTATTGATAGATTTAATAAACACTCTGCAGAGGTTAGCACACTGTACCCACACCACGGAACCCATGGCCTCGTCTTCCCATTTGGGTGGACCAACGGCATTCCAACAGAACCCTCCCATTGTCATGAAGCTCTCCCGGCCACTCCAACTAACTCCCCTCTGGGCTAAGTCATGGGTGGCCCCGTGTCCATCGAAGAAACAACGATCACCGTCGTGGCAAAACTTAAACGGTCCCAAACAGGGACAAGGTACCATAATCAACAATTGGCACACAAGGTTATGGCTGCTTACCGGGCCAGGGTACTGCATGCCCATAACCTTCCATCGTTGGAGGTACCGACCAGAGGCATGACAACAGACCGAATAACGGCCTTCCCATAAAGGCAAATGTGGTTGCACTGGGAAAAACTCGATTCAGTGGCACCATGACTCGATCAACTTTATGTTCAAGTTGAATTAACATCAGGTTTAACTTGAAATGAAAATAACTCGAGCCACAATATGCCATGAACATGCAACCATCTGACATGCATCACATATCACTTAGAGTAAACAGATCAACATCATCGAGTTTTCTACTTGCACTAGTCATCACTAAACTTTACTGATTCTTCTTCACTGGTTTTTTAACACTCATCATTTTTAGTTATGACACTAACATATTAAAATCAATTCCTCATATATGAAAATAATACCGATGCTAGTCATATCATAACCATATCATAATCACACAAATCAAAAATACTTCTTCTACCTCATACTCCCTCCGTTTCTTTTTACTCCGCATATAAGATTTGGTCAAAGTCAAACTACAAAAAGTTTGATCAAATTTATATAAAAAAATATGAACATCTACAATACTAAAACTATATAGTATGAAAATACGTTTCATGGTGCATCTGATAATATCGATTTCATATTGTGAATGTTTATAGTTTTTAATAAAAAGTTAATCAAAGTCTACAAAGCTTGACTTTGACCAAACCTTATATGCAGACTAAAAAGAAACGGAGAGAGTACTAGTCTATGCATTCAAACACTACTATAAACTAAGCATGTCAACCATGACAATTTAACTAACATAACCAATATTCATTTAAATAATTAAATGCATGAAATAACTCATATTCAAGTTGGAAAATCATAAATATTGAAATGACATCATGCAAATGTTGGTGCGGCTTGCCTTAGTTCAGAGCAGGTTCACACTCCTCCTAGATCTCCTCAAGACAAGCTTCTCCCTCTGAAAATAATTAAAACCACAAAAGTAAAATATCAAGAACACTTATGAAAATCACCAGAAAGTTATGGCTGGTCAAAGTTCCTAGTCAAACTGATTTAAATTTAAATAAAAAGAAAAGGACTGGGGGGTGACGTCGAAAGCGTATTTCTGCGGGGCGCCACCACTCATACCGCTTCGGCCGTGGCTGAGAGGCTGATAGTGGGCCCCTGTGGTCAGGTTTTAGAGGGGGGTAGAGGAAAGAAAGGAGGGGCGGTGGTTCTCCGGCGAGGAGAGGCCGGCTGCCACCGTGGAGGTGGGGGATAGACGCAGAAGACTCCGGCGAACTCTTACGTACCCAGAACATGGCTAGAGGTTGTCGGAGTTGGTCGCGGTGGTCATCTCCAGAGGCGTCAGCGGAGGGGGCTCGTCGGAGAAGACGATTCCGGCGAGGCAAGGCGTTCCCAGGGGCTCCAACTGCACCAGCGCGGTCAGTGGATCACCAGGAGCACCCCGGAGGAGTTGGTGATAACCCACAAGTATAGGGGATCGCAACAGTTTTCGAGCGTAGAGTATTCAACCCAAATTTATTGATTCGACATAAGGGGAGCCAAAGAATATTCTCAAGTATTAGCAGTTGAGTTGTTAATTCAACCACACCTGGGTAACTTAGTATCTGCAGCAAAGTATTAAGTAGCAAAGTAATATGGAAGCAACGGTAACGATAACAAAAGTAATATTTTTGGGTTTTGTAGTAATTGTAACAGTAGCAACGGAAAAGTAAATAAGCGGAGAACAATATGTGAAAAGCTCGTAGGCATTGGATCAGTGATGGAGAATTATGCCGGATGCGGTTCATCATGTAACAATCATAACATAGGGTGACACAGAACTAGCTCCAATTCATCAATATAATGTAGGCATGTATTCCGAATATAGTCATACGTGCTTATGGAAAAGAACTTGCATGACATCTTTTGTCCTACCCTCCCGTGGCAGCGGGGTCCTAGCGGAAACTAAGGGATATTAAGGCCTCCTTTTAATAGAGTACCGGACCAAAGCATTAACACATGGTGAATACATGAACTCCTAAAACTATGGTCATCGCCGGGAGTGGTCCCGATTATTGTCACTTCGGGGTTTCCGGATCATAACACATAGTAGGTGACTACAGACTTGCAAGATAGGATCAAGAACTCACATATATTGATGAAAACATAATAGGTTCAGATCTGAAATCATGGCACTCGGGCCCTAGTGACAAGCATTAAGCATAACAAAGGCATAGCAACATCAATCTCAGAACATAGTGCATACTAGGGATCAAACCCTAACAAAACTAACTCGATTACATGATAAATCTCATCCAACCCATCACCGTCTAGCAAGCCTACGATGGAATTACTCACACACGACGATGAGCATCATGAAATTGGTGATGGAGGATGGTTGATGATGACGACGGCGACAGATTCCCCTCTCCGGAGCCCCGAACGGACTCCGGATCAGCCCTACCGAGAGAGTTTAGGGCTTGGCGGCGGCTCCGTATCGTAAACCGCGATGAATCTTTCTCCCTGATCTTTTTCTCCCCGAACACGAATATATGGAGTTGGAGTTGAGGTCGGTGGAGCTCTAGGGGGGCCACGAGGCAGGGGGGCGCGCCCAGGGGGCAGGCGCTCCCCCCACCCTCGTGGCTAGGGTGTGGCCCCCCTGACCTTGATTCTTTCGCCAGTATTTTTTATATATTCCAAAATAATTCTCCATTGATTTTCAGGTCATTCCGAGAACTTTTATTTCTACACAAAAATAACACCATGGCAATTCTGCTGAAAACAACGTCAGTCCGGGTTAGTTCCATTCAAATCATGCAAGTTAGAGTCCAAAACAAGGGCAAAAGTGTTTGGAAAAGTAGATACGATGGAGAAGTATCAACCCCCCCTCCCCAAGCTTAAACCTTTGCTTGTCCTCAAGCAATTCAGTTGACAAACTGAAAGTGGTAAAGAAAAACTTTTACAAACTCTGTTTGCTCTTGTTGTTGTAAATATGTAAAGCCAACATTCAAGTTTTCAGCAAAGATTGTGAACTAACCATATTCACAATAACATTTAGGTCTCATGTTTACTCATATCAATGGCATAATCAACTAGCGAGCAATAATAATAAATCTCGGATGACAACACTTCCTCAAAACAATCATGATATGATATAACAAGATGGTATCTCGCTATCCCTTTCTGAGACCGGAAAACATAACTGCGGAGCACCTTTAAAGATCAAGGACTGACTAGACATTGTAATTCATGGTGAAAGAGATCCAGTCAAGTCATACTCAATGTAAAATAACAGTAATGAATGCAAATGACAGCGGTGCTCTCCAACTGGTGCTTTCTAATAAGAGGATGATGACTCAACATAAAAGTAAATAGATAGGCCCTTCACAGAGGGAAGCAGGGATTTGTAGAGGTGCTAGAGCTCGATTTTAAAATAGATATGAATAA